CTTGATTAAGGCAATAGTTTCTTCGTCATAGAAAAAGAACTGCATTTTTTCTGTCAAAAATCTACAAACACTATGCTGCAACTAGCGTAATGGATGTAAGTCAAACAATTCTGCTAGGTACAGCAAACAAGTTGATAGATTATTTCGAAAGTCAAACAACTATTAACAAGGTCGTTTAGAAGTGAATATCAATGATACAATCTCATCAAATCAATGCGAGATTATTGAAATAAGAAGAATATGCACAATTGTACGCACGGATAACAAATTCACAGAGCAAACTTCCTTCTTTTATTGGTTCTTTGAAAAGTGCTTCCTTTAGATTTAGCTTATTATAATTCAAATTTGTACAATGTGTTGATGCAATGGCTTTTGACATTCGTGTTGAGGAACCCTTAGAAAATATTCAACACTCTAGCTAAAATTGCGACAATCCGATCTACAGCTAAGATCTGACTTCTAGCCAAGCTCCACTGATCAACAGCTATTCCACAAGCGACCTGCTTTGACATCTTTTTTATAATAAAATTTTTATGGAAGGTCGAGACTGGGGGAAGGGTAAAGGGGGGCGAGGGGTCGAAAAATGAAAATGGCGTGAGTATATGGCGTTGGGCAAATCTATTACTCGTATAGAAATTTAGCACTCAAATTTAGATATCCCACTGAAAATTTGAAGAAACTAATAATCTACGCTAGGCTCGGTGTGTGACAAACAAATCTGTGCCGACAACAAATGTGTGTATAATATATATACCAAGGAGTTGATCCCCTTTTTCAGACAGGATTAATCCCACTATCACAAGGGATGTCGCAACCTGGAATTGAAGGGCTTGCGGTGGCTCTCAACAAAGGCCATAAGGTGACAAAGATCGACTGTAATTCACGTCAAAATCGTCACATTGGGGCAGAACTCGAAGATTTTCCGCGAGCTCGTTCGTGGGATCACTGGCTTTGCTCCTTACGAAAGACGGGTTCTCGAGTTGCTACGTATTTCTAAGCATAAGGGAGCGTTAAAATTTTTCAAACAACTGTCCGGGAAACATCTCCAAATGAAAGACAGGCAAGTAGCGCCTTGCCTTACTTGTTTTTAAAGGAATACTTGTTTTGCCTTCAACCCTCAACAGAATGGTCACCGTGGTTTATTTTCTTAATATTCATACTATTTATCAAAAAGGCTTTCAAAAATACTATCGCTCTTCATTAAATCAAATTTTCTCTGTAAAGATTGCAGTCACTCCGCAACCATTACTGCGTCAAGAAATGACAAGT